GTCACTCCATCAAGTCAGAAGGCAAGATCTCACCATACCTAACAAAACAAGCCCAAACTCGTCACACATAACTCATCTCGTCTGTTAGTTCCAGTAGCAGTTCTCGAAGTACACCTTCAGGTCACTCCAACAAATCAGAAGGCAAGGTCTCACCATACCTAATAAAACAAGCCCAAATTCGACACACATAGCTCATCTCGTCTGTTAGTTCCAGTAGCAGTTCTCAAAGTACACCTTCAGGTCACTCCATCTAGTCAGAAGGCAAGGTCTCACCATACCTAACAAAACAAGCCCAAACTCGACACACATAGCTCATCTCGTCTGTTAGTTCCAGTAGCAGTTCTCAAAGTACACCTTCAGGTCACTCCATCAAGTCAGAAGGCAAGATCTCACCATACCTAACAAAACAAGCCCAAACTCGACACACATAACTCATCTCGTCTGTTAGTTCCAGTAGCAGTTCTCGAAGTACACCTTCAGGTCACTCCAACAAATCAGAAGGCAAGGTCTCACCATACCTAATAAAACAAGCCCAAATTCGACACACATAGCTCATCTCGTCTGTTAGTTCCAGTAGCAGTTCTCAAAGTACACCTTCAGGTCACTCCATAGTCAGAAGGCAAGGTCTCACCATACCTAACAAAACAAGCCCAAACTCGACACACATAGCTCATCTCGTCTGTTAGTTCCAGTAGCAGTTCTCAAAGTACACCTTCAGGTCACTCCATCAAGTCAGAAGGCAAGATCTCACCATACCTAACAAAACAAGCCCAAACTCGACACACATAACTCATCTTGTCTGTTAGTTCCAGTAGCAGTTCTCGAAGTACACCTTCAGGTCACTCCAACAAATCAGAAGGCAAGGTCTCACCATACCTAACAAAACAAGCCCAAACTCGACACACATAGCTCATCTCGTCTGTTAGTTCCAGTAGCAGTTCTCGAAGTACACCTCCAGGTCACTCCATCAAGTCCGTAACGAAATATGAATTTTTAACCCCTACTAATTTCTAGTAAAAATATGACAAAGTGTGAATTATAGTTTACTTTTGTCGTTCGTAGTCCGAAGTCCGAACATGATGTGTAAAGTATCAACTTTGTTACGACAAATATTTTGTATTCGTACAGCGATCTTTTTCCTCACGAGCTGCTGTTTATAAGCGACATAGTGACCACTCATGACGGCAGCCGAGCGCCGACTAATATTTCTTTAAATATTTTTGTGGAATAAATCAAAAAAGTGACCAGTAAAATAACCTTTATGTCAATCACTTAAGATTCACGCGTAAGATATAAATGTGAAAGAAATAGATTTTAATCTTTATTTTTTTCTGAAACTAATTTCAACAATTTTGATACGTAATGTAGCTACCTTTTTGAGTTGAACATGTGTGCTTACATAAAATATTTTTAAATAAAAAGAAATATGTTATTAAATAAGAGAAAAATGTTCCTAAACCCAACAGGATATCGTCCATTTTGAGTGAAGTGGTCACGAAAATTCTCATTTACAATATTATAAACCAAAATTTTCGATTAAAAACTATCTACCATTTGAAGATGAAGGAGGGATCTATATGTTATAATTATTACTTACATTATATTCGTTTCGTTTTGCCGCAAAATGTACCTGAAAACCCCCTATTTTTGCAGATTCCGCGAGATTTCGCAAACGCGCCCTTAATGTGCTTTCTCCAGCTTACAAACAGATAACAGTCACTACCAAAGTCCCTCCTTCTTTAATTCAATCTTACGTGTTTTAAATACTATGTGATAAGTACACGTAATGAACAGGCCAAATTGAATTCTAATGTGTTTACATTAGAGATTACTTTCGTTACGCCACACTTATTTTAGTCCGTCGGATCTCACCGGATTAGCGATGCATCACACATATCCTAACCGTGAGTAATTTAACGGGAATTAACCCGCATAATGCTCGGTGGTTACGATGGTGGTCTGAAAAGAATTGGATCTAATTTAATTCTCGAGATAGGCTTAGGAGGATGTGGCTTGTATTTTATTTTTCCAGCATTTCACGTTTCTTCTCGAACTAGTAAAAAATCACAACATATGTATTTCGCTTATGTACAAATGTGGAGTTAAATAATAAATCATTCATTTATATATACATTTACATGCAGTCGAGAATTACAGCGATTTTAATTCACTGTATATTTAACAAACTATTAAACTTGAGCATTTTCGAAATAACAAAAAATATATTTCGATGATATGTGAAGTCTGTCAATCCTCAGTAGGTCTGCGTGTCCGCTATTCCCCAACACTCTCTGTACAGAGACCTTTGCCCAACAGTGCGGCATTTATAGGCGTTTGTTACTTTACTATAATTCTTTGATGGAACACTTTTCACACGGCATTTTTAAGCTACCACCTTGATGTTAGTCTACCATCTTGATGTTAGTCTACCACTGTGCGTTTCTCACGCGATTTTCTGCCACTCACAACCAAGTTGTGGAATACGTTGTCGCCAGACGTAGGGACCTTCAAGAAGAGAGCCTATTTCTACTTCAAAGGCCGGAGACGCATTCGTGACTGGTGTTGCGAGTGTCTAGTGACGTAGATGAACTTTTACCGCCAGGTGGGCCGCATCGTTTGCCTCCATTTTCATTAAAAAAAAAAAGAAAAAGTACTGTTTATAGAACTTCCCTATACACATGATACTAAAGTGGGCTCCGTAGATATTTCTAGAAGCGACCGATTCCGGCATTCCACGGGATCTGAACCCACGATCACATTATTGCCAACCCAAAGTTCCGATTACTTATTCAATGGCTTATTACACAAAGGGTTCTGGTTAAACATAGTTATTACAATAGTATTTATTAAGAGCCTGTAACGGACAATAGATTATTAACAATACCATGTTTCCAGTCTATCGCTGAATTGATAACACCCGTTATATATGTCTATAAAAACATTTACCTTTTCAGAACAATACGAGTGGCTTTTTTCTTAAATACTAATATAATTAAGCTGAAGAGTTTGTTTGTTTGTTTGTTTGAACGGACAAATCTCTGGAACTAATGGAAGGTTATAGGGTATTTAACATCACGCTACCCAGAAACGCTTCTCGCGGATAAAACCGCATGGAACAGCTAGTTTTGAGTATAATCGTTTAGATGACGTAAAGTCTGAGCAGTTCCGAATTTTTATACAATACGTAATGTGCACGCGTTTATTCGCATAAATGTGAGCGCGCTTCTAAGGCCCCATGCACACCAAAGCTTTAAAACGTAGTATCGTTTGAAGAAAAGATTTTTCGCGTACCCTTCAAGCGAAATTTGAATTGTATTCAGTTTGGAATGCCGTGTTTTTTATGCGAGAAGATAGCAAGCGCGCCGGCGGTTCACCTGATGTTAAGGGATAACCGCCGCCCATGGACGTTTGCAACATCGTAGGGTTTCTGAAGCCCCGGCTACCTCACTCACCAAACGAAACGCAGAAGAACTCTTCCACTTCACGCCGTGTTATTTCCCCGGACGGATCTGCCTTCTGGATCTTGTATCTGAAATCGACCGCCTCCGCCATTTTCTTGTGTATTCGGCCTAATGCGTTTATTTTTAATTTATTCCACGCACATAACCGTATCTGCGCGGACGCGTTGGCGTGCGTTGCATTTTAATAATTGTTATTGCGTAATGTGCATTAAAAGAACCACTGAAGACTTAAATGTAGAAATCGAGTTGAAATTTGAATTTGGAATATTTAATACTGGTAAAGTACTGGTATGGGAAATCGAAGCAAGTACACAAGTGGAGAGTAGGACTAATGCTCTGTGAATTGTGGATCCCGTATACATTGTATACGATGATGACAAATTAGCAATTTTAACTAAATACATACAATTTGAACTATTTTAACAACATTAATATTAGCTACAAACTATTTAAACTACATACCGTTAATACCGTTTTAACTACATACTCAACCCTGAGTTACTGAGGAAAAAGAGATAATATAAACAGACAGACACGGGCGGACGGACAACTAAGGTGATGCTTTGACGGTTCCGTTTTAGTCGATCGAGGTTCGAAAACCAAAAGAAACGCGAGATTAATCCCAATAATCATAATATGATATTATAATTATGATATATATGATATTATATTATAATATTATGATATTATATATGATATTATAATTATCCTGCAATATATTATATTGCAGGATTAATGCCCAATAAAGTGTGGGTCTCATATAAACTTATTTTTTTATAGCAATTTAGTAATTTAAACTACATAACTTCACCTATTTTTGAGCAATAAGAAGTTATATAACCAAACAAGTGACAAACTTTTAGGATTCCGAGTTAACCAATCGATGTATAGATAGCTAAAAAATGTATTAAATTACAATAGATATTTGGTTATTGCATATATATGCTATGTATCGATACTGTAAGAAATATTAGAAAACAGGTATTTCTGGTTATGTAGTTTTCTGATTAATTGAATTATGGGGTGCTGTAGATACCTATGTGTGTGTGTTGGAGGCTCACACATTGAATCCTCGAAGTGGTAGACGGAGACGCTGTTGGGCTCTTACCAAAGTTGGCCCAATTGTTGGTGCCAACCATGGTTAGATAGCTTTAAGTCCACATTTTGTGCGTGATACCGTTTAAGTTTAGGCAGAGCCAAAGAGACCGACAGACAGGCCAGCTTCCAACGTTGGCGAGTGTTGGAGCCAACACGATTACATACATCGTACTTAAAAGAACCTGAAATATTATTATTTCTCTCGCCCTAGTGGCATTACAAGGAGCCATCTCGCATTGCGTGCGGAAATCTTGAACGATCCTGTAAATACTGCCTGATGTAAAATTTATGTAATAAATTTGACGATTCATAAGAGAATCTATTTGAATAAATATATTTTTGATTTTGATTTTGATTGTGGTCACTCAAATCCAGTTGCATAACACGATTACAAAGGAGCTACGGTCTTTGGTCATCAATGTTCCATTCCTCGCTTTGCAGATTTGTCCGAGGAGAACCGCGGTCTTCTCTCCTCCAGCCAAGCGTCCTCCGGCACCGATTTCCAGTCCACGGAGACCCTCACCGAAGCAGCCAGCCTACCGAAGACCGGCTACGACTTTTTGGACAACTGGTAACTCGCGAGCTATTAGGTGTCCAGAACGCTCATGTCAATTGGTTCGCAGCTGATATGCTTTACTTTAATAATTTATAGTTAACTAAACATTAATACACGAGTCTAAATCCACACTTTAATATTAGATGTTGTTTTATAATCAAGCAGTTCTTGCCCATGAACTAATGATTTACGAATTTTAACCAAAAGATTTGAACATTAATTGATAATTATAAATGAGTCAATGTCAATATCAACACAAAAAACCACAAAAACATCTAATATTAAATTAGATGTTTTTTTTATAACAAAGCAGTACTTTCACATGAACAAATGATTAACGAATTTTACTGGATTTTTGTGTACTGCTTTCGAATATATGCATAACTAAAAAGCTTCTCGCTTGCCAGTTCAAAATAATAAATTTCATTATTAATACCCACTGTCATATATAAATGAAATTTTATAAGATGATGTTAGTGTTGAGAATGAGAAAACAGTTGTGATTCCCGTTTCGTTAAGGCCTTGATGTTATAATTTGGTCGGTGCTGGACACTTGTCAATATTTAATTTTTTCAATTGAATCAATTTGAATTATAAAAAATACTTTTAAATATTTTTATTTTTGTAAGTGGGCGTTGAGACAAGTTTTCAAATTGTACTAAGAGGAATGGCTATAATAGTGCGCAATTTCTAAATAAAAAATATCATATTTATTGGTTAACAGAATATTATTGCCAATGGCAATTTACCATTTATGTATATTATAGTCTTATATGCAATAAATTGAATGAAATGTAATAAAATGTACAGCTGTGGATCAATCGACCTACATTTTCATCTGATTATTTATCATGACATTTTTTTACCAATGTTTATCTAACAAGTACTAAGTATTTGTATTACCAAGTATCCACGGTGATTAACACATGTTAGGAGTATTAACTAAATTAGGCGTATTTACAATGTAGTGTTTATATTAATTGTAATAAGAAATGTGTAGCATAAAATTAGTGAAAAAATTTGTAAAATAGTTCCACATTATTCTGAAGTCGAATTTCATGTCAATACTCAAAAGTGTTACCTCATTAGTTGCTTTTTTAGTATTGTCCTTTACAAAATTATTAGTGGATGTGACTGATTATGGACAAATATTAGTTAAAAGTATTTAGTTACCGGCATTAAAGTTTGTGAAAGATATATTGTTGGGTGGTAACTAAGCTTTGTGTGCTGTTATCAATATGCTGATATTACATATATACGAATTACATATTACATATATGCCGAACCTTTGTATGATGGCTTCCTTACGTTTGATTAAAAACTATTGATTTCAAAATTTTATATTAGTTTAAAGTAAATTATCTAGGAACACTGTTTGCTAGCACCAAATGTGTGTACGCCTTTTTGTTGACCACATTGTGTGTACACCTTAAAAATAATATAATGTATCAAATCATTAACCTGTCAACCTTACTAGATTTAGTTCTTTAATAACGAATATCTCACTAAACTAACTTAGTTATTTAAACAATATCATTAGTAAAAAAATATTTAAACTGACATTACACTTAGAATTTTACAGTAAGTTACAAATGTAGACTACACTAAATATTATGCGGCTTAACTGTGGTAGGGCCACGCAACAGTCTTCGCTGTTGCGCAAACGGTCAGCTCCATCCGGAGTACCACAACCTGCACAAAGTGAAGTGGAAGAGTAGTCCTTCTTCATTTCGTCCGGTGAGTGAGGTAGCCGGGGCCCACTTTATAAAAAGGTGGCCTCGCGTCTGCAAACCTACGGGTGTCGCAATTGTCTACGGGCGGCGGTTATCACTTAACATCAGGTGAACCGCCAGCTCGCTTGCCATCTTGAATACCGCCGTCCATGGACATCTGCTACATCCGAGGGCTACAGATGCGTTGACAACCTTTTGAAAATTGGGCTCCGGCTGCCTCACTCACCAGACGAAACGCGAAAGTATTATACTTCCACTTTACGCCGGTCTTGTGTGAGGTCGTGGTACTTACCCGGACGAGCCTGCCCATTCGTGCAACAGCCGAGGCTGCTGCGTGGCCCTACCGCCTTTAATCGTACCAGTTTTTTCGTATTGATGCACATAATTGTTGATTCAACGACATTTTGTACTGCAGATATGTTGTTAACGCAAAGATGTTTAATAATATAGATGACGTATGTCCATACTGCGCGGCGTTTAAAAAACTGTTCCGCTTTACATTATATGACACATATGTAAGTGAATGTGACAGGTGATATGGAAAGAGATAGTAGTCTATGGAATTGCAAACTAATTACACCAATTGGTGTAATTTGAATGCATCTATTTCGGTGCGTTTGTGTCATTGTATATAACATCATTGTTGTTAGCGCGTTACGGACGTTTTCGTGGCCAAAAAAAAGCGAAACTTACAATGTTGTTATATATTTTTCGTATAACATAACTATAGTATGAAATATCATTGTGTTATATTTATATAGGCCGAAATATATAGGCCGAAATGATGATGAGGTATACATTTATAGCAATCAATCAATATTACTTTGTGGAGTAAAAAGATTTGTATAATTTTGATAGGTCGTCGATAAAAACAGATTAAGTTTACGGCTAGGACGATGTTTTAAATCAATCACAGAATTATCTACATTGTAACTATTGATGTTAGTGTTGATATTAATAGAACTTAGAGGGAAGCTATGTTCATTGCCAAATATTTAGGATGCTAAATATTCCCAATCGCAGCCGTGTATAGTACTCGGCGATAAATATTGAATATTGACGTTCGGAAAGGGACGCCAATTTCTGTTTTGTAGAACGTTGTCTCTGTCACGTACTTCCTACGAGTATGCGACATTAATTGGACAAGTGTGCGACGGGGATAGTGCTATTTAGAAGCCGAAATCGGTCGATTGTCTCTTTCTAACGCTTATCATCGAGTACTGTGCGAGGTTGCGCCAAGTTTTATTAAACCCTAGAGGTAATGGTCAGTGCCGGATTAACCACGTAGCAAGAGTAGCAATTGCAACGGGCCCCCTATATTTAAACCCACTCATCTCTGAGCGTAATTTTTTGAGTTGAACACATTGAGTGAGAGTATTGAATTGGTTTTTTACCACTTTTATACTTAAGAATCGAGGGCTGTTGAAGAATTTGCTACGGGCTTGCTTAATACGGCACTAGTAATGGTTGGTACTCAAATTAACTTTTCGCATAGAAAATTATGTATGGAGTACATCGTGAATATGTTCACTGTTTGTGTTTAAGCGGTGAAAGTTTTTTGTTAACGACACGAACAAAGAGGCTCAATGTACATGTTTATTCCTCTTTTAAGCGACGTATAAATCTCGGACGAGCCGATATTATGTCGAAAACAGCTCTCCTAACGTGCATTTATTACTATTTTATACTTTTATTGAGATCTCCTATAACTTTACCGTGTATTTTTTGTGTATCCATTATGTTTGTTGTTGTAGTGTAAATTGCTGTTAGCCCGGTGGTTTTGACAGCTTAATAAAAAAAATACCCCGTCCTGTCACTTGTAAAAGGGCGGGAAATTTTGACACATAATTGTATAAGTTAGTGATGTAATAGTTTTTCGGTATTTTGATAAATTGTTTGTTACGATCTCTTTACAAGGAAACGTTTATTGTAATTTTGATATTGGCTGTAAGTTTAGAAAAAAAAAATAAAGAGCTCTTGCAAGTCGATTTATCTCAAAGGTGTCCTCAATAATAATGTAAATTATATCCTATTTACGTGTTATTTTATAAAGATCCAAATTATGGGCTTAGTAAAAGAATACAATATGTTTTATCATTTACCAATGACGTTTTCGCACTCAAAGACTTTCGCAATTAGCGATTAACTGACATTAGATTCACTTAAATTTAATTCTGAGCAGATGGTTCCTTTGTAGAGGTATTAAAAAATGTAAGTTTTCCTACTGAAATTTACTAGTTAAGCCAAATTAAGTCCTAATTGACGTCTCCGAGTAATAATAGTAATATAAGCCTAACTTAAAGTTTACAGATCTCTCAAACAACAATCATTTGATTTTGAAACACTGCTTTTGTAGTATGCCAAATGATATGCGGAGTCGACAGTTTAGCTAGGCTAACTAATTTATTGCTTACTTTATAATTTAAGCCGGATTTATCTATTACTACGCGAAAGACTGCATACAATATACCCTATTATGTGTACTCCTGTAACGAACAGAATTGATGTAATTATTAAAAAAAAAACGCATGAATTCGAGGTTCTTTTTTTTACCTTTTTCCAGGCTTCGGATTCTACGTGTTAATATAGCGAAAAACAATTGAACTAACGTAATTTTTGCTATGTGAAAAGCTGTCAAGCGATTTCGGTTAGCTGGATTTTAAGTGATTACCGCCGCCTATGTACATCTACAGCAGGTGAGGGCTATTAGATGCGTCGATGTTTAAAATGAATCATTCTGTGGTTTTATGGCACAGGACAGGGAAATCAGAGGTCATGTGACATAAATTGGCTGTCCGTAGTATTTTTTTTATATGAAAAGTTGCCAAGCGAGCAGGCGGTTCACCTGATGTTAAGTGAATACCGCCGCCCATGGACATCTGCCACACCCGAGGGTTGCAGGTGCCTTGACAACCTTTTGAAAATTGGGCTCCGGCTACCTCACTCACCAAGTAACGCGAAAATATTATACTTCCACTTGACGCTAGTCTTCTGTGAGGTCGTGGTACTACCCGGACGAGCCTGCCCATTCATGCAACAGCCAAGGCTGCTGCGTGGCCCTACCATGGTAGTAATAAGACGCGAGTGCCTCGGTGGCTCTTCATTTGTACTCGATAGTTCTGTACATTGATAATTTTTCTAGTTCACAAAAGCGTGATTTGTTGACAATTTTTTTTCCTATTGAGAGGTCAAGTTCGACGTTGCAATGTTTGAAAAAGGCCTGAACTAAATAAAAAACGCTCGAGTTTCCTTTCGAGTTAAATTTCATTTGGAGTTAATAAAA